ATCGCTGTCCTGCACAGGGGGCAGGTTTGCTGCTGCTGTGCCCACTGCAGGGCACAGCTTAAACAAAACTGGTGGAGGCAGGGCGACAGGTAGACGACGTCCCCATGACCATCGTGGCAGACAGGGCAGCTCCACTCGCTCTCGGAAAGAGCGCTGAGGATGAGGAGCTGCTCCCTCTACCAGCACCGCAGCAACGGGTGTTGTGTGCTGCAGAAGAGAGAGAGGCCGTGGTCACTTGCTGTCCCAGGGAGTGGATGAGAGGAAGAAAGGCCGAGGCCTCTCAGCTCACCTCTGCTGCTGAAATGCCCAGGTCCCTCAGGAAGGACACCCTCACAGCTCCCCAGCCCCATCGCCCACCCCTTGGCCGCCCCAGGAGGACGTTTCCCCACAAAACTCACCTCTGCTGCTGCAAGCACCCTGCAGTGCCCAGCTGCCTGAACCAGGCAGGGCTGGGAAAACACAAGGAGTGGCTCCGGGACAGGCACGGAGAGCTGCTGACAGCAGCCCCCAAAGCACTACCCAGCACCAGAAGCCTCACTCGACCCTCCAGACCTCGCAGGCACGCTCAGCAGGAGTACAGGCATGAGGCAGACTGGGCCAGGCTCTGTCGCTGTTCCGTGACAAGCAGGGAGGGACATGAGGTCACAGTCATGTCGCTCAGTGGTGTCACCTTCCACAACATGGTCTCACAACAGCCCATCTGCCCCAAAAGATAAATGCCCTGTTTGCAATGTATACAGTCCACACATTTCAATTCATTAAAAAAAAAAAAAGGTCTTATTGCTTTATTTAGATTTTGACATGGCTCACTTTTACCTTACTGGAAGTCCTGTTAAGATCTATATAGCAATCACTGGCTGCGTTTTAGCAGATATCAGCTTAAAACAAATAGGTTAAAATTATGGTAAAACAATTTCCTATGAACTAAGCAATTTTTCCTTTGTCTAAGAAAAGCAATCCTCGTAAAATGCATTTTCTGGCTTTAGGTTTGGGCTCTTTCGTGTTTGTTTTAAAACAAAACTTTGAAATACTTGGTGGATGTATTTTACAAACTACAAGAATACAGGATGGCTTTATGAAATTACAACTTCTAAACAGTCTTCTGAGAAACTTTCAAAGTTACACACGAGCAATATCTTGTCTTCTTTGACTTAAAAGTGCATACACATTCCAAGGTTTTACACGTTTCCCAGACATCTTTTAACAGATACAAATCACAGGATCATAGGCCATTAGGAGTTGGAAGGGACCTTGAAAGATCATCCAGTCCAACCCCCCTGCCAGAGCAGGATCACCTAGACTAGGTCACACAGGAACGCGTCCAGGTGGCTTTTGAATGTCTCCAGAGAAAGAGACATCACATCAGGTGTTTTTATTCTCAAGGGAAGAAAGTAGTTAAAACAAATTCTCATTTCCAGAAGTGTTCCATGGAAAGTGTGCTACATTTTCTCTTCTGGGAAATCAAACCAAGAGCATCTGTTGACAAGTTTCTTTGGCGGTCTTAGTATCAATGGCCGTCTCTCTGGACACTCTGAGAAGGAAGTCTTGCGGGAGGGCAGTTGGCTGGAAGGTGCTGCTGGTGCTTCCTGGCTGCAGCTGGTTGCAGTTTCTGTGTGAGGGGTGTTACTGCTGGCATCCCCTGTGGTAAGACTCTGATCAGCTGCTGCTTCTTGAAGTTCGACATCAGCGTTTTTAACGTCACCATCTAAGTCTCCCCTTTTGGTCAGAATACTGTACTTTTTGGCTGCTCTTCCAGCTTTCTCACCAACTCTGTAAACATCTTCACATCCTCTCCTTCCCAGAAAAGAAGATGGAGACTCCTTTTCCCTCTCATTTATCTGAGTTGTGCCTGTCCTAGTAATACTGCTGTCACATTCGGGATTTTCTGGCTCCTTGCTACTATCGCTATCAATTGTAATCACCACTGGAGAAGAGTGTGCCGAGTTGCTCAGGTGATGTTTCCGGTGTTTCTTCTTATGCTTTTTCTTTTTCTTTTTAAGATGCCTTGTTGTGTCTGTCGCTTTTCCTTCGTAGACTATCTCCACACTTGGGCTCCTCATCTTTTTCTTCTTTTTCTTGCGCTTGGTCTCACTGCTCGCTTGATTGTCTGAAAGGCTATCTTCATTTTTGTAGCAGTCACTGAATTTTGAGGAAGTTTTCTTGGGGTCACTTTCTCTTTCTAGACTTGTGCTCTCCATGAACGCATTCTCCAAGTGGCGAGTTTTGTACTTCCTTTTTCCACCAGGCTTTTCACTTTTCATTATGTCAGTTCCTCCGGAAGGGGTCCTTGACCTGTTGCTTGATCGACTCTTTGATCTGCATCTTTCATAACAGTAATAGTGTCTCTCATGGACACCCCTCTGGCTACGCGAATCTGTCCTTTCAATAAATGATCGTATGCTGTATTCCGGACTAGCAGATTGCCTTGAGTAGAAAGCATTAGACCGAGTCCTCCTCCTGCTGGAGGATTCATAGCCATCTCTGAATGCCTTTCGAGTACAGAAAGCATAACCCCACTGGTATCTACTTTGATAACTGTCTCTTAAATAATAACGATCACTGTCTATACTTCTTGATCTCCTTTTGCCGTGGCCTTTGCTACATGATCGTGATCTGCTTACTTCTCTGGATGGAGTGCTCTCACGACTGAGAGAGCCCCTCTGGCTTTTTGGAGAGACTTTGGCATCATGAGCCCTCAACCTCCTGCTGCTTCTTCTGCTCCTATGTTTGCTACTCTCTCTGCTTCTTGATTGTCTCCTTTTAAGTTGGCTTTTGCTACGATGCTCCCTCCTAGAGCCATGACCATGACTGCCTCGACTGCTCCGTGAACAGGACAGCGGGCTCCTGGACTTCTCCTTTCTAGACAGCTTGTGATTCCAAGGGGAGCCTACTGTGTCACTCCCTGGAGAGGGGCTCCACCTCAAGTCCTGTGGAGACAGATCTTTTACCTTACATTTGTTCTTCTCATCCTCTTTTGACTCTGTCTTCTCAGCTGCTGGAGATGAGCAGCTTCTGCAACTACCTACATATTCCTTATATGCAGGGGTATGCGGTGAGAGACTCCTGCTCCGTTCGCTATCACTCCAGCTGCGACACTGGATTGGCTCCTGTTTCTTCACGTCTTCCTTTTTCTCTTCCTTGACAGACTCCTCGGAGTCTGATGTCAGCTCAACCACTTCTGGTGTCCTCTCAGCTAATGGCTTAACATACCCAACAATAACACAATTGTCCGAGGAAGAGTCACTGTCGTTTGAGTCAGCATTAGCCTGTGACTGAGTCTGCAGTTTGGTTCTTTGGCTCTTTGCGGCAGAATCCTCATCAGAACTTTCTGACATCTCCAGAGGAGATGCTGTGGTTGTACGAACCTCTTCTGAAATGGAATAGGAAGGCCCTGGAGTTTCATCATCCCATGGGGCCTGACCAAGACCAGTCACAGACGAGCTGTTATCTGGCCCTTGAGAATATGCCGTATCTGGAGATATTGTAATGATTGATGAGCCTGAGTGGCTTCCTTCATCATATGATGGCGCAGGACAGTCATAATTGGCATGTTGATCGTATGCTTCCAAGTTAAAAGGACAACGGGCAAAACTGATGAATTCATGTAAGAAGTGTTCAGTCCGATTCAGCAAAAATGGCTTTAAATCATCAGCAAAGGCTTGACTCTCCAGGTCATACCTCGTCACATTACTCATGATGATGTGCTGTACAATATTAACCAAAGATCCATGGGCACCAAACAGGACTGTAAGCTCTCGCTTCAACCAAGGAAATAACCTGTGAAGGCAAGCAGGGTTGCGGCGGAAGAACTCTGCTGAAATGTCTCGATAGCGTCCACCATCCTGAATACTACGAATACGCACGCCAGTACGGTACAGAGCTCTGCGGAAGTTGATCATGTCCTCCTCCTGAATCTGCCGCAGAGATCTGCCCTCTGTGCTAGCCTGCCTCCTGGAGGCCAGCCTCCTTATCATCTGCTGAATTTCTCCATCTCTCTGCCGCACTGGTTCACTCGATAACCCTTCAAACAGTATCCCATTGTCTGGAGGGGACAATGTTCTGCGGGAAGGGGAACTGGCAGCGCGGCGTTCCCTCGTTAATGTGGTACGGTAACGAAATCTCCGGCCATCAGGGCTGGCAAAAGAGCTATTTTCAGAAGGGCTGAGTATGTACTCCTTAAAGTCATCTTCAGCACGAATTGTATGGAAAATGGAAAAAAAGGGCTGCTTGCAGAGAGGGCATTCTGCTTTGTTTTTTGACCATTCCTGGACACAGCGGAAACAGAACCTGTGCAAGCAGCGATCGAGATAAGCAACATTGTCAAACCTATCCAAGCAGATGGGGCATTTAGAGTCAGGAGACGCATCTGTTGGGAGCTTGCTGGTGCTGGCTTTTGGCGAAAAGTTGCTGTTTTCTGAAAACTCCTTATCTGTTGAAGTCATGTTCTACAAAAGAAAAGAGAGGAAAGATCATTGCTCTCTCAGAAAGACAAAAATACTACATGGACACAGAAATCCATAACAGTCGCCTTTCAGGCTGCAAAACCCAGCATCAACACTGAGAGAACACTGAATAAAGGGGCAGCATGACCTAACTGCTCTGCTTGGCTTCTGCTCACAGTAAGATCTGGCTCTGCAGTGTTGCAAGTTTTAAACAGAGCTTGAATCATGCTGGCTTACATGAAGGTAACAGGCAGGACTCTGTCTTCTTCCTCACTCATAAATAACTGCTCTGACGTGGTAAGTTAGTTTATGATTAACATGGTATTCTCTGTGACACACTTCCACAAAAGACCAGCATTTACATATGAAAAATGAGAACTGTTAGTTCTGTCCTTTAAGAAAAAACGCCAACACAAATATGGCACTCAAACTGAACCACAAGTTTCCAAGTTCTGTTGGACCTGCTCTGCTCCTGCAACCTCTGCCTGTGTTGCTGGGCACCACATATGGCTTATGGGACTAGACATGCTCCAGGGATGTGTTCTGGCCTAAACCAGTCCTTGTTCTTATGACTGAAGCAGAAACAGCCAAGTGACATTCCTACACCCACCCACATGGTACATGCTGCTGTCTCTGTATCAAGTCAGGCTGTCAAGCGTGGTTAGCTATAAATCTGACTATTTTAAAGACATTTCAGGTTATCAGCATTATCCCAAGACACTATAATTCAGTGGAAACAAGTCACTGTGCAACTTCAAAACTCATTAGCCCGACTTTCGCAGCACGCCCAGGAGCTGATTGCACCCGCCTGCGGGACAGCAGGGACAACGCCGTGCTCTGCAGACAGGCGGGAGATGCACCGAGGGATCCCGGCGCTGGGGGGCACAGGCGCTCGCACGCACCGAGGAAGACGCGCAGAGACAGGGTGGGTGTCACAGACGCCTCTTTCTCCCCAGCTCCC